AAACTCCGTTTATTTGGCATTGGAATGGAATCACATATTCCAATTCCGTCGGAATCACGTATTCTAGTTCCACCCTCATACCTTTCGTATTCTTGTTGATTGTGATAAGCATGGTTTAGCAACGTGTAACCACTTTCCACAAGATCCCTCCAGATATGCACCAGATTGATAGCTTTTGCTAAGTCCTCCAAAACACAAGGCTTCTGAACCCCGCAACTTCAAACAAAATTCCATCGATTCCAACATCGATGCTAAGCCGACATCCGAACCTTCCAACCCTAAAAATAACCAAGGGTATTTTAGTAATTTCACATCACTCTAACACACACAAACACCCACACACACACCTGCAGGATATTGAAGGGCAACAGAAACACGACAAATAGAAGGAATACCAAAGGGGTCTCGGGGACTAGCTCGGTCAGTCAAAAGGTCATCATTCTTTTCTGCAACAATGACAGCATCAGGTCCCGTAGAGCCACCCATTGCCTCCAACAGTGCTTGTGGGGTTGATGGAAGCATGTAAAGGGTATTATCGTGATTTCAAAAAAAAGCCGAAACTTTCATCGATGTACTTTCATAGATTTGTTTATTATAACATCCTACTTTCTTTTCTTTTTACTACAACATTAAACTTTAATATATATGTACCCAATTAAAGGATTACTCCAAGTAAAAGTCCAAAAAAGAAAAAGTGTTAGAACGTTCAGTGCATTTGCATTTGTCCATGTCCTGTGTAATGTAACAAACGAGGCCTAAAGTCCTCCCATATAAGCACGAGTTCTTATACTAGTTTCTCATGTATGATAGTTGTAAACAAGGTAACCCAATTAGAGTGGCAATATATAATTCCTGAATCCGTCTTTTGTTGTTGCTACAAGAATAATGTTGGAATATTGTTTTTGTGCATTAACTCAACAAATAAACTCATAAATATAATCACCACCTTTGCTTACAAAACTTTAGGCAGCTTTCACATTTATCTTGAGATAAAACCCAAGTTCACAATGTATTATTATATCCCACAAATATGTATAAAAGTCTTTGTTATAATAAAAAAAACAGAATAAAAAGATAACCTTCAAGCAGAGCCTGAGATATTTCCAACTTCCACCTTAGTCTTATCATATAATGCTTTCTCTTCATCATTACTAGCAGTTTCAAACTTCTTCATTAAGCTATCCAATTATGCAATCAAACCAACCTGTATTCAGCACAAGAAAAAAAACCGCTAAATGCACTATATATATATATATATATATATATATATATATATATATATCTTGTTTTAAGCTTAAAGTTCTAAGTTAAGGCACTAACATTGGGAGTATAGTATGTTGCCCATTTATTGTTCCCCATCATAATCTTCACCATATTTATTGTTGGGTACCACTCACACAACACCTTTATGAATCGATATAAGTGATAGAAATATATAAAAAGCAGCAGTCAAACTTCATGTAAAAGAAATGTTATTTCTAAAAAGAGCCAAACCAACCAAATGTTACGAGGGCCAGGTAGTCATCACCAACAGGTTTGCGGAAAATGGGAAGGCGATGCTCAAGTTCATGAGGAATTTTCACATCCTTAGTGCTTACTGCAGCCTTCTGTAATTATCTAAAAAGAAAACATACATAGCTTGAGTTCTCCATGAACAAGGTTTCACTTAGGCATAATTGGCATGTCAATTTACCACACAAAGACTCGTTGAGCTTGAATTATTATACACAAAAAAGATACTGAAATCGATTATCTGTACAATACAGGGATAAAGATAACAAAATAGAATTATTCACCTCCTTAGTCCTTACTGTTTTACGCTATTCTTTGTGTCATTTCATGTTCTTTTGTATCTTCTTCACATGTACTAATCAGCCTTGTTTTGATTCAACAATTTATACTTATGTAGCTAAACATGATATCTGATATATATCAACTTCTTTCTATTGAAAAAAACCATGTTTACAAAAGTTACAACCATAAAAAATTGCACTTTAAGCCACTAACAGTTTCTTTTAAGATGTCTGAAAAAACAAAAGTAATCCTTTTAAGTAAGAGAGAGTGTCAATTGTAAGTTGTCGTACTTGATTTAAAATAGCCATACTTGAATGCAATGGTGATCCGTATTAGATTGGATGGATTTTCAAGTGATAAACAACCTCTGTACTTAATTCAACTTAGCCGTATTTGATTAAGTTTTTAGCCGTATTAGATTTAAAGCTCACATTTTCTAGTACGGGATACCTACAAACCGTATTCTATCCCTGTATTAGATTAGCATTTTTCTAGTAGTGCATGAGCTAGAATCACAATACATTGAGCTTAATTTCACACAACCATTGAAGAAATTAACAGGATGCGCGGATACTGAAACACTGCTTTACACAAACAAACATCTACCGATACCGGTGAATTTGGATTAATCGGTTAAGAAGATAACCTGAACGTCATCGTAGGTCCAGCGGTTAAAAATCAAGACATCGCTGCGAGCCTTCCCGTCATCAACAATAGGTGCGAAGACCTCCATTGCTTACGATTCTTACTCAAACTGTAAAGCAAAAGCCTTTGTGCTTCACAAATCGGTGGAAGGAATGAGAATGGCGTGACTGGTGGGGTAGTGGAAAGTCGGCGAGTGGTGAACGAGGATGGAAATAGCGAGGCGACGAGTTGATTTCTTGAGCGGAGCAACCGTAATCGATCGATGCTTTCTTTGATTTGACGGAAATGGTGAGGTGATTTTGAATGGTAATACGAGATTTGAGGGTATCACCGTATCTGAGCCTTCTAGTGAATTGTTATAATAAGAAGCCCTACCAATCTTACAATGTACGATACTACCCTTTTATTTCCCTTTTATTCCCTTTTCAGTCCCTTGAGATATGATATATTCTTCAAAGGAAGATATATATAAATATGAGTTGCAAACGTGAATTTCATCATGACCAGAGTTTAGTCCTTTATTTTATAAGTCATATCTTTTTTTGGAGCATTTCTTTGTGCATTGTTAAAAGAGTTAAGTAATGTATCAATAAAAGTTCGATGTAAAAAAATATAACTTTTTATTTAGTTAACTATGTTGGATATATATTAAAGGATTTGAATATAATTTGGACAACTTATGGACCATCCTCCATTTTCATAGTACCTTTTTTCGTTTTACGTATTTTAAATAGATAGTCATTTTATCCATAGGATGACATTCTCCTTAGCTAGTCAAGATAGTAACCGAAAACTATATTTAAAACGTACAATTATATTTTTTCTTCCTTGCATCTTTTAACAAATAACGACTATATAACTTCTATCAAACTTTATCAAAAATACCCTGTATTAAAATTATCCATCTAAGATAATATCTATATAATAAATTATTCTATATTATCTTAAAAACTTTAATTATTCCTAGATTTCTTTGGTTTGAATTTAAATTTTCAAAAACATTTATCTATTAAGTTACATTATATATCCTTTTAATTTAAGATTTTTCTTATAGTATTAAATGATAAAAAGCAATTTAATTTACTTTTTAAAATACGACATAAAATTATGACAGACATTTCTGTCTGTCGTATGATATTTTACAATATATGACATAAATGTTATGACAGACTGTATGCCTGTCATAGAACTGTTGGATGTCGTAATTCGTCTGTCAAGAAAAACCTTTTTTCTAGTAGTGATCCTTACTCATATATCACCGCAACATATACAATCATCTTCTTACTTATAATTTCTTGCAAATTAGTTAATAATGTCAATCATCACCACCGAAATTGAGTTCACTTCTTCCCTTCCATCTATACTTTTCAAAGTCTATGAAGATTTCGACAACCTCACACCTAAGGTAGACCCTCAAACATTAAAATCCATTAGCATTATTGAAGGTGATGGTGGTTTCGGAAGCATCAAGAGTGTAATCTTCGGGGACGCACACTACTACAAAAAAGCTTATAGGACCCGGTTAAATCAATTAAATAACCCATTTTTGAACTGAGTCTTAAAGCCAGCGAGTTCTATGTAATAAAAGGAATAGAACCCGGTGTTAAAACCAGCTCCTACTTGACACAAAAAAACACGGTTGTTCACCACTAGAAAAAAGGTTTTCTTGACAGACGAATTACGACATATAGCAGTTCTATGACAGGCATAAAGGTCTGTCATAACATTTATGTCATATATTGTAAAATTTCAATGATTCACAACAGACAGAAATGTCTGTCATTAATTTATGTCGTATTTTAAAGAGTAAATTAAATTGCCTTTTATCATTTAATATTACAAGAAAAAGTTAAAATTAAAAGGATACATAATGTAACTTAATAGAAAAATGTTTTTGAAAATTAAAATTCAATCCAAAGATATCTAGGAATAATTAAAGTTTTTGAGATAATATATAATAATTTATTATATAGATATTATCTTAGATGGATATATAATTTTAATACAGGGTATTTTTGATAAAGTTTGATAGAAGCTATATAGTCGTTATTTTTTAAAAGATGCAAGGAAGAAAAAAAAAGTTGTACGTTTTAATTATAGTTGTCGGTGACTATCTTGACTATGTAAGGAGAATGCTACGAGTGCCATCCTATGGATAAAATGACTATCTATTTAAAATATGTAAAACAAAAAAAGGTACTATGAAAATGGAGGATGGTCCATAAGTTGTCTAAATTATATTGAAATCCTTTAATATATATCCAACACACTTAACTAAATAAAAAGTTACATTTTTTTACATCGAACCTATATTGATCCATTACTTAACTCTTTTAACAATGCACAAAGAAATGTTCCAAAAAAAAGATATGACTTATAAAATATAGGACTAAACTTGGGTCACGATGAAATTCACGTTTGCAACTCATATTTCCATATATCTTCCTTTAAAGAATATATCATATCTCAACGGACTGAAAAGGGAATAAAAGAGAAATAAAAGGGTAGTATCGTACATTGTAAGATTGGTGGGGCTTCTTATTGTATCAATTCACTGGAAGGCTCAGACACGGTGATACCCTCAAATCTCGTATTACCATTCAAAATCACCTCACCATTTCCATCAAATCAAAGAAAGCATCGATCGATTAGGGTTGCCCCGCTCAAGAAATCAACTCGTTGCCTCGCTCTTTCCATCCTCGTTCACCACTCGCCGACTTTCCACTACCCCACCGGTCACGCCATTGTCATTCCTTCCACCGATTCGTGAATCACAAAGGCTTTTGCTTTACAGTTTAAGCAAGAATCGTAAGCAATGGAGGTCGTCGCACCTATTGTTGATGACAGGAAGGCTCGCAGCGATATCTTGCTTTTTAACCGCTGGACCTACGATGACGTTCAGGTTATCTTCTTAACCAATTAATCCAAATTCACCGGTATCAGTAGATGTTTGTTTGTGTAAAGTGTTTCAGTCTCCGCGCTTCCTGTTAATTTCTTCAATGGTTGTGTGAAATTAAGCTCAATGTATTGTGATTCTAGCTCATGAACATGAATCTTGATCTGGTTGATTTAGAATAATATGTGAATTCTGTAAACAGGTTCCTGATCTTTCTGTACTGCTACTGCATCAAAGCACCCAATCTACATGCCTCACACAACTGGAAGGTACCAAGCAAGGAGGTTCAGGAAGGCTCAATGCCCAATTGTGGAGCGATTAACCAACTCTCTCATGATGCATGAGAGAAACAATGATAAAAAGCTTGTGGTTGTTCGCATATTCAAACACGCAATGGAAATCATCCATCTGTTAACCGATGCTAATCCCATTCAAATCATCATAGATGCTGTCATCAACAGGTACACAATCAATCACCTTCTATAGTTTCACTCTACTTCTTTTCAACCATCCTTACATTTCCAGTAGTATCTCGGCCTGTGATGAAGCAATGGATAATTTTTCATCTCTGATTACTCAGAAAACTCATGTTTATATGAGTAAAAGCAGAGCTAGATTGGAGATACTCCTTAATTTCGTGAATATGGATATTAGTTACTACTAACACATACTTCGTTTTGGAATATGCAATTAGTGTTTTTACTTATTAGCTTTCCTGATTTAATGCAACCTGACATTTGACATTTCTTACAGATTATGGATTTGGAGTAGTCAATTCAAAGGTGAAGATAATCCATGTGACTGGAGTAAGTGACATGGATCCTTAGTTCCTTACAAATGGTCTAAATCAAAATGGAGATGCGTAATGGTACTTCACATGTCAACCTCATAACTAGTTTTATTATTTTATACTTTCATTCTTTAAATTTCAAACCCATTTCAAGAGGTGAAATGGGATGAATATGTTGGTAACAACAATCATGAATGAATCTCTCAATGAGAGATTGATCTTTCGGGTGTATCTGTCCTACTTTTAAGCATTCATCCTTCTCTAAGATTCAAAAAACTCCAGTCCTCTGCAACTGACACAGGTCCTCTGCAACATTAAAACCAATATTTAAATTAGTGTAAACTGTTTTAATCATATTTATTATACTATTTGAAGAAGTAGGTTTTTGCAACTGACACAGGTCCTCTGCAACATTCAAATCTTTACAAAAGTGATGCCTTCTCTTTTTGATCCAAATTTTGAAGACCTCTTTATAAACACTTCATATGCATATCAAGTCAAATCTCTAAAACTTGAGATCCTTTCTTCCATTGCTATAGATGAATCAATCTTAGTTATCTTTCAAGAATTGCAAGAATTGCAGGTAGTTTTATTAATATATTTTAAAAAAAGATTGGATTGAATATAAATTGGGATCCAAAAGCATAGAGTTATGTTTGAATAGTCTATAGTGCATTGGAAATCTCAATTCTCACACTCCATTTTTGCCTTAATAGTTTCATATTCGGCTCCATAATCCCTTATTTCTTCTTCTCCATCTTAATTCTCAGCACAGAAAAGAAAATAGTACTTGTTTGGTGGCACTGGGAAGAGATGATGGTGAAGTCTTCACCATTAATGCCACTTCTGCAGAGTTAAAATGGAAATCTTCTGGACATCATCATAGGTGTGCTAGGAAAAATAATAAGATGATATGATCATAAATTTTCAGATTATTGATGGTTAAAATAACCAAATTTGGAGTAATACCTGAAGCTCAGAACTTTTCCATGTGCAGTAGAATTGCTGCTCTTTCTTTTGCAAACAAAGGGCGTAAAAGAGTTCTCACCTTAGATGGAACAACATGCGAAATGAACTCTGAAACTGGTGAACTGTTAAAAGAAATGAAAATTTCAAATAAACTTATCTCTTCATCTGTATATATTTTTCTGGCGAGTCTTCCCAACACATGGTCCTTAAATTGTCTTAACCTTTTTCTTCTAACGTTTGTTTTCTTGTAATGATAGATGATAAAATAGTAGATGGATCAAATACCAAGATCAGAGTTCTCACCTTAGATGATGGAGAAGAACTACTTAAGTTTTCCACAGATGTTGTATGTTCCTACCTTTTGTATGCACATTTTTAAAGTGATTACTGCAGTTCTGATGATTTTTTTTTACTTTTCTTTAGGGTCCTGTGAATCATATGTTTATGTTGGATGATACAAACACCATAATTACATATGTATTTGGTGACAAGAATCTGCATGTGTGGAAAAATGGATAAAATCAACAACCATTAGCTGCAAGAGACTATGCATCGAGTACAATTACTCCAACTTGTAAAGTTTTGATTGACATATCAAATGTTGCAAAAGATTTGATCGATTTATCGAAATCCCGATAATACCCTTTACATGCTTCCATCAACCCCACAAGCACTGTTGGAGGCAATGGGTGACTCTACTGGACCTGATGCTATCATTGCTACAAAAAGAATGCTGCCCTTTTGACTGCCCGAGATGGTGCCCGAGACCCCTCTGCTATTCCTTCTATTTGTCGTGTTTCTGCTGCCCTTCAATATCCTGCAGGTGTGTGTGTGTGTTTGTGTGTGTGTGTTAGAGTGAGGTGAAATTACTAAAATACCCTTGGTTAATTTTAGGGTTGGAAGGTTCGGATGCCGGCTTAGCATCGGTGTTGGAATCGATGGAATTCTGTTTGAAGTTGCGGGGTTCAGAAGCTTGTGTTTTGGAGGACTTAGCCAAAGCTATCAATCTGGTGCATAAAAGGAGGGATCTTGTGGAAAGTGCTCACGCGTTGCTAAACCATGCTTATCACATTCTACAAGAATACGAAAGGTATGAGGGTGGAACTGGAATTTGTGATTCCGGCAGAATTGGAATATGTGATTCCATTCCAATGCCAAATAAACGGAGTTTAATTCTATCTGAAGGTGGAACCAAAATCAGTGATTCTAATGGAATCGGAATCTGTGATTATGTTGGAATCAGAATCTATGATTCCATTCCACTGCTAAATCAACGGAATTTAATTATATCTGAAGGTGGAACCAGAATCAGCGATTACGACAGAATTGGAATCAGTGATTCCGACGGAACCAAAACCTTACAAAATATAAATGAAAACCAAAATTGCAAGAGAACCTTTTGACATTATGATTAGTGTAATGGAATGTATTTTTGTATATGTATGATATCTTATTTTGCATTATTAGACATTAAATGTGTAATTTAGTTTGTTTAATATTTGGTACAAATTAAGAATATATATATATATATATATATATATATATATATATATATATATATAGCGCCATGACATACAAAATATGGCGTAAAACCATGTCAAAAATCATGTCGTATAGAATGTCATAAATGTTTGTCATAATTGCAAGAATGTTACAAATTACGACATACAAAGCCAATCGTAAATGTATGTCGAAAACGTGTGTCATGTATGTATGTCGTAATTGTGGGTCATAAATGTCTGTCGTAAAATTTATGACAGGCCAAATGTCTGTCATTATCCTTTATGACATGGCTTTCAATGACAGACATTTGTCTGTCATGTATAGGCATTTACGACAGACAATGTCTGTCAAGGAAAGCCTTTTTTCTAGTAGTGGTTCATAAAACCGGGACATATAAGAGGAACATAACGCACAATATTTGATCATATATGAAGATTAGGACGCGGACCAACCATACAAAATCGGGTCATATATGGCTAAAAAAGCCCGGTTCCAATCCTAAACATAATCGGGTCTTTTTCAGCCTTACAAAAACCAACTATAATTACAGTGGACAGCATGGTTATAAGAATTAAATTGGTAACAACTTTATTAAAATAACAATAATATAAAGAAAATAGTTGATAAAAAGCACAAACTGATACTTGCATCCAAAGCACACATTCAAAACAAAAGAAAAATTATGCATTGATGAACAAATTATATCTATATAAACATGCTAAATAACCAATCATTATAGTCATCGATAAAAACATGCTTAAGTGTTGCTAAAAACTACTTGATTTGGTCATTTCATAATACATAAACTTACATAAATAAATTCAAATAAAAAATTGTTTTCATATGCAGAGGTATTGTCCAATAATCAAGTATTGCAGCTATCCTCCAACCTCACTTAAAAACAAAACACAATAGCTATCCTTCATCCTCACTGAAAAAACAAAACACAGCTATCCTTCATCCTCACTGAAAAACAAAACACAACAAATAATTAGTTTTTTTGTCTAGCATTTTAAAAGAGTTGAATTTAGCAAACAATCATTAAACTAAAAGTAGGATGTAATAAAGATTAACAACTAACCTTATATGCACTTTTAGACAACCACATCATTCATAAATATTTTCAGAAATTCTCTGGCCCATGTAGCAACAGTTGTAACCAACGCCTTTTCCTCAAATGTAGTTTTGTCATTCCAAAGGGTACCAAACTATACAAAAATAAAATTAAAACTACTAAATAACGAAACAATTTGTTTCTTCCTTTAGAAGAAAAGATTTTTTTAATAAGTACTTACTCTATTAGGAAATCCATGTTGTCCGTTCAACACAAAATCAAAGATCCAATTCGTTACATAATGCTCACTCAGCTCACTTTCCAATACACCGTCTTGGTTGCACTAAAATTGTGATAGAAGTAAACATAAATGACAAATGAAACTACATCTAACTAGTGGGTAAATAATAAGATAAATTACCTCAGCGAGCTTCCATACAATTGAAATTGATGTGTTCTTTTCATACCTCTCAAAAGCCCTAAAAATAAACAAGCAGCAGAATTGTATTCAAACTTATAGAAATAAAGCTATTTTCATGCCATATTAAGAAATTTCTTACTTTTCTAGAAGTTTGAGCAGGTAGTAGTTGTCAACAGGATTTTTCATAGGCTTCATCAGAGAATCCAAAATGTATACAATATGATTTGAAGGGCAAATCACCAAGAGGACCCAATGCGTACTAGTAATGTTTTGAAATTTTAGTATAAATAAACAAAAAAAAACTATTAATATAGATAGCAACGTATGATACTTTTGCAGGTATGGTGCAATAAGAAATGATTTTCCATGATGAAGACGCATCACATCAACGAGATAATTGACGACATCAATCGGAGTTTCCTGACAGACTTTACCAAGAATCTTATATGGGTTTAGGAAAGCACACTTGCCCAACGTTTCCGAACCATTAAGTGTAGAAGGCTACAAACAATATTACAAAACATTTACAATCAAGTAATATCTTATAAGCAGCCTAAAAACAAAATATCATGGAAACAAATAATAGTAAAATTTGAATGCGCTTAAATCTGCCAAGTTGTTATAATGGACAAATCAGTTGTTTGTTTTTCAACAAACGATAATAATCTTCATATATAACTGAAAAATCAAATGCCCAAGCTTCTAGATTTCCAGCATCGGCTACCACATGAACCACTAGGTTGGTCTTCAAAAGGTCACGAAATGATTCTATTGGCCTTGGTTTGTTGATCTTTTGGTAGGCATGTTTTTTTTCCATAACAGCCTTTGCGGTTGATGTTCGTGCAATTGAGGTCTGAATTTGTTGTTGTGATGGCGCCTTGTTTTTTTTGTTCCTTTTAATAACTCATTTTAATTAGCGAGAACGTCATATATGCCATTCTTAAACATCAAAATATTTTATTTTTCATCCTAAATATAATATTTTGATGTTTAATAGGGGCATATAGGGAATTCTCCCATTTTCAAAAAATGTATATATGGTAGATAAAAAATTAAAGCATAATGAAGATGTACCTTACTAAGAACAATTGTGATCCGCAGCCATTGAATTAGAGTGCCAACCCCGTATCTTCTAGGATACCAACTTCATCTGTCATCATCACAGAAACATGAATACCTTTATATCTTTCATCTATGTTGTCTATCATAACCTTCAAGTGATTTTTGCGTAGGGAAGTGAGTGAACTAACCCATCATTATAAGGAAAGACCATCCCTATGGCACATTTTTTGTTCATATCACCATAAGGTTACACCAAATCACAATGAGTAATAGTCTGCAATCATATAGCATGTAGTGTATTTCATGTGTCAACATGTTAGAAAATTTTCTATAAAACATAATTTGACAGCAAAGTTCAAAGTAAAATGATATCAATAAATTCAAAAAACATAAACCTAACACATTAAAACAGAAAAATATGCTAAATATAAAAGTTTGGAACTATTTTAGTATATTTTCTATCACACATGGACCATTATTGTACATTTGCATAACGTAGGAAAGCTCCATGATATTGGGTTCCATGTTATGTGGTATTACTTTTGAACCTGACTCATTTTTATATCTTCTCCCCAACACATAATCTAATGAACGCTCGCTTTTTATCTCATAGAACCGTGACGACAGCTCACCCGATGCCTTCTCTAGTTCCCACATAGGTTTGTTGCCCCGATAACCACATGGGCCTACTTGGGCTGGATTTGTATTACACATTGAACTCATCTTTGCTTTCTCACTTATAACCTGCCAATAAAAGAAACAACCACAATTATGAAACTGCAACATAATGATTAATATTATCAAGAGACATTATATCCTACAAACCTGGAATTCCTTTGATGATATCCTTTCCTTAAATTTTTGCAATGCATTCTTCTCCAGATCTGAGTAGGTTTCAAGTGGATTTCCCTCATTCTCATTGGCCAATAAATTCTTTTTAAACCTCTTCGTGTATGATCTCCACTTGTGGTTGCAAGTCATAAGCACATATGCTTTGCGTTTTTCATCATGGATATTCCAAAGTTTCTATTTTTGTTTTTTTAAAAAGAATAACTATTAGTAACATATATTAATTAAATGAAAGCACGTGTAATGTGTATTAGATAACAAACCTTATGGTCAACCATAAGTTCTCCTTTTCATTTGTTGACACTTTCTTCCAAGTTGGATATTCAATAGAAATTAACTTTCTCGTAACAACCACGCAGTCATTGGTGAACTTATTTTGCTTATCGCCACAATGCTGACCAAGACTGTTAAATTCAACTTCTTGTGGCTCTGTTATATCCATTAGACGTGTGGCTGTTTTTTTTCCTCGGTTGTGGTTGTGGTTATGGTTGTGGTTGTGGTTGTGGTTGTGGATGTGGATGTGGATGTGGCTGTGGTACCGGTTGTTGTTGTGGCTGATCATTCATGATCTTTATTGTAGATGATAGGCAAATGGCTCAACCACCAACCTGAACAGATCACAAAAAAATTTAACATGATATCACCAATAACTCTCTTATAAAACAGTAACAAGTGAAACAAAATCATAAAAACATGAAGAAAAAAACACATCAAGTGATAAGTTTAAACTAAAAAAGAAGGCTATAGTTGTCCATTTTTGTGTGTATTTCTCCTTCCAAACATGTTTATATGTATATAAATGTACACACTACTATACATATGTTTGGTGTGTAAGTACAAGGCCATATAGAAATGCTAAGCTTACAATTTACATAGGAATTAGGAATTTAGCTCGAATTATGCATAAAAAGATAGATAAGCTAATCGTATAATTCATTATGATCTAACTAGATTTCCTATAATATACTCGACTAGTGATAATTCAGAAAAAATAAATGAGAGTTTCCTCTTTTTATCAGTTTCAAATCCTCACCGAGCACTTTACACAAATACTTAACATGTAGAATTTCAAGACTACGATTTGTAGTTAGACCCATAGCATAAAAAACTGATGTAAAAGATCACTACATGAATTAAAAAAAAAGGGTAAAAGAAGAACTTACATATCAAAATATGAAACTTCACATGTTCATCAAAACTTACTTTCAAAAAATATGAAGCCTCATTGAAGACTTTTCACAAACACTTAATATGGAATTTCAAATGTTCAATACCAACAAATTTAAATTGTAGTACGTAAACACTAAATTGAAATTTTCTCAAGAAATAAACATATCAAAGTTGAATAGATTAAAAAACAAACTCACAAACCAGATAACGAAAAAATAAGAACCTAGTATTTTCAAGGATGTATCAGTGTATTGGAATGTTAGGCACAATGGATAAAGAGCAAAAAAAAAAGAATAAACATGAAGAGATACAAAGAGAATGATATGGAATCGATTGGGAAAAAATAAGAAAAAACCAATGATTACAAACATATATCTGCTGAAAAACAGGAGGGTCATGGCCTCCCCCAGCCCCTAAAGGGTTCCGCCACTGTCATCATTGTTATTTTTTGCAGAATTGTCAAAAAACAGCAGATAAGAGCAACTAGATGCAGTATTTTCATGAATATATACATACATACTGTCACACCCCCAAACCGAAACGGCGGAAACGTTCGGAGGCGGAGGACGTCATGTACAGTATCACAATAATTGAATAATAGTAATCAAAGTAACAACAACCATTGTATTAATAGGATAATGTTTACATTACATTTGAATCATACATGATTGACTCCAAAAGTAAATAATAAGTAAAGACTCGAACTACTATGCTCCGTCTTCTTGAATCCGGGCGTGTACCTGTCTACTAAAGTCCTGAGAATACAAGTAGGTTTTGAAAGAGTATCAGCATAAAGCTGGTGAGTTCATAAGCGTTTTGTTTTGGAAAACAGTTCCTTGATCTTTCGAAAAGTTCATTATGTTTTTCCAGAAAACCTTATATTTTCTAATGTAATAAATGTATAAACCTTAAGTAAAAATGATTCTTACACGTTCCTCCTGCGAGTACTTAGTGTATACAAATCATATACAATCCAGATCGAACAAACAATCGATTGTGTAGTTCTGCCCCAAGCCCACAACCAAACAAGGAACATGAAATGGGGCGGAGGCCACACATTCCACTGGTTGACGGATCCTCATGTACATAATCCTGAAGTATTCACTAGATACTTACAAAGTTAACTGTATTGATCCTTTGATATCTGTTGAAAGTGTTTCTCAAGAAAATCCATTATTTTCTTATTGAATGCATGATTAACCAATTCCTTTTTATAACTACTTAGCTCATACTAGCTATGTATGAACCAATATCGAACAAACGATTGATTGTGTGGATCTGCCCTAAGTCCACAACCAAACAAGGAACAGGAAATGAGGCGGAAACCACACATTCCATTGTCTATCGGATATTCTTCATACATAGCTTGGATGCATAAACTAAGAAATTATAGAATTTACAATGAATATTCATAAATAAAATGATAAACCGATTATTTATAGAATGCTTATGTTTACCCTGGAAAATCCTATATTATTTAAGCATTATTCTTACTGAAAACTTGGCTACCACCAGTAAGGTATAGTAGTCTTATTACATAAATAAAACTAGTTGAAAACGTAGAGTCATATATCCTGAAAGTGTTGTTAATACCCTCCTATGATCACTTAGTACATACGAGTTATAGAAATCTAGATTGAACAAACAGTCGATTGGGTGATTCTGCCCTAAGCCCAAAACCAAACAAGGAACAAAAACCAAACAAGGAACAGGAAATGAGGCGGAAATCACACATCCCACTGCAAGTCGGATGTTAATTTCATATTACCCTGATGTACATACTAAGTCACCACAGAGTTACTAACCCAATTGACTGATTGATACGTACATTATTACGTGAACGAGTCGTTGTTTCGCCTGCGGATTATTATAATCATACTATGGACGATCAACATTTCAACGTACTCGGAACGCACGTCGATAAAAATGACGTTTGTCACCATCGGTTGACTGTAGCTAATAGTCAGGGTGTGGGATTGTCACTCCCGTATAGCTCTATACACAAACTCACGCTCTCCCACTCGGGAGACTCTGGCTACAAGGCGTCTCACACGGTTGGCTCTCTCAACGAATTCACGAATAATACTCTGAAAACCCTTTTTATTATTAACATGAATCCTTATAAAATAATATCTTTTATTTCATAATTTATAAGTTTGTTTCCTTTGTTTTGAAAACTGCTTTTGCAAAGTTTGTATCCTAACACGTTTTGTAAAACTGATTTCTATATTCGATGTATACTAATGATGGAAATATATTAAAGAAAATATTATTTTTGAACACAAGATTCCTTGTGTTTTTACTTGTATTCCCCCCTGAAAACATTAAAAACTCGGAAAATATAGGGGTATGAACTCATCGTTAATTTTGTGCAAGCGTCGAATCAGTGAACTGGAAACGAAGACCCTCGAGTTGTAGTACGTGGCACCTAACGGAATCCTAATAACAATTAAATACATATATGTATCTAAATTAGCGATTTCATTAAATAAAGTGTTGGGAAACACTTGATTTCGGTTAAGGAATGTTATCGGGACTTGAGTGAATCGAGGAAAACGGGTTTTCAGCCTAAAGTACCACTCAGGGAGTGTGTACGGCCGTGAAAGGGAGTGTACGACCGTGAACCGTGTACGACCGTAGACTGCCTTGAAGGGTGTACGGCCTTTGAAGGTGTACGGTCGTGGTCGAGTGTGCGGTCAACGAGCTTGAAGGTGTACGGCCGTGCACTCAAGAACAAAAGTGCTAGAATCGATGAATACGTGTCCTAGATGCTCCGAAATGAACTCCTAATGGTGTTTTTCGATGTTTTACGGAAGAATAAAGGTGCTTTAGAGGTGTACGGTCGAGAGTCTAGAGAGAGAAGTAGAGGGTGTTCGGCCAAAAGAGTGTAAATGAGGGGTAGGGTCTCGTATTTATAGGGGTTTTTGTGGTCGGTGGTGGGGTCCACCCGACATGGGCCGTATACGAGTGTACAGCCATACACGGGTGTACGGCCGTGAACCCAAGTCCGGCCGAGAGTGTTTGTTTTGATCGACGGAAAAACTCGAAATTTCGCGTAGCTTTGGTCCCGACTCATATATGAAGCTCAATTTTATAACAAAATGACTTTCCAAGCCAAAGGAATTTGACGGGACTCAATAAAAATCCAAATTTTATTAACGGAATTTGGATAACGGAAATGGAAAAAGGTTCGGGTTGTCACATCATCCCCCGTTAGAGGGAATTTCGTCCTGAAATTCGGATTCCGAGTGGATGGTTAAGGATAAGGAAAAGAGACGGTTACTTTGGTTCTATTCAATCCTTGCATTCTTTCAATGAATTCACATCCTCGCTGGTTGCTTCAGCGGATCATCATTGATGGGTGCGTTGTTCTAATCTGTGATGGGCGTGTAGGTTTAGTTTGCTCAACTACGTTCATCCAACTGGTAGGATGCCCATTCGTAGATCCGAGTAGCCTTTTTCCTGAAGTTCATGGTAGGACTCATACCTGGTCCATCTACCATTGTCTCGTGTACACAAGTCGTATATAATTAAGATTGATAAGACGGTCGAGTGGGTGACTATGGCCCAGGTCCACAACCAGATAAGGAACAGGAGATAGGGCGGAAACACATATCCTAAGTCCGTAGAATCTTAATTATATACCACCTTTGCATGTGCATTAAACATTGATAGGCTAACCGTATCTGTCCCTAGCCTCTGTGCTTGAACTTGACTTGCTGCGCGAGTGGTGTTTCAAGAATGGTTTGCTGAGGGTGCTTAAGGAAGGGTACGGGTGGATACCATACTCCTCGCATGAGTATTTTCAGGGTTTTGAAGCGAGAGATAATTCCGAGGTTCGCATCTAGTTTGTCGTTATGAGTGATGAGAGTTTTGTTATTCGGTCGGTTTAAGGTAAAGGGTCTCCTCGGTGACACGTGGGTTTGGTGTAGCGTGGACTCAGTTAAAACAAACGGGATGAC